GTCCACACCTCTGCAAGTGGCCAAGGTTGAGAAACACTGCTCTAATGCTTGGAAAGAAGGAACGAAAGGAGGATTAACCGCAAGAGGGTTGGACTTGAGTACAGCACTAATGGGAGACCAGACTGGGGACAGATCTTCCTGGAGAAAGTCTATCTATGTGGCCAGTGAGAGCCAACACTGACTTGATGGCACGTAATCAAGCAATCTATAGCGTTTAGAGCACTAAAACGTAAGAATGCTAAAACCTGGAACATATGCACATCTGCGATCCCCCCAGAAAAACTTTTGATTGTTTTGTCTAAAAACCAGAAGGATATTTTCCCTTGTACACACGAGTAAGAAAAACTCCTTCCTGCAGAAAGCAACCTACTGGCTGACATTAACCAGGATATATCACTTGGATCACATATTGTTTATAAACATATACGATGTCTGTAGCAAAGCCTGGAAGAATTTTCAAACCAGGCAGAGCCAAAGCTGAACTCTGGGGCTGAGCGTAGCTCTTGGGGTGGACCGAGATGGGCCCGCGTTTTGAGCACACCAACTTCCCCAACTTGATGTCCTCCAGATAGGTTGGGACTACAATTCCCATAGTTTCCCTAGAACACAGCCTTTGAAATCAAGGAACCTTAAACGAGATCCTGATTGCAGTAGCTTTATGACGGTGCCTGGCTTCAACCGGAAGCATCTTTATTATCTTTTCTTCCCTCTCTATTCTCAAAATCACACCTTGTCAAGGAAAACAGATCAGAAACATAAAACTAGCAGTCCACTTTCCAATAAAAGCGAGTATGTGTAGCTCAGGGTTGAACTGCGGCGTCCTTGGGGCTCTCTGAGCTTGGTTGTTTTCTTGCAGACGTTTCGTTACCCGACAAGGTAACATCTTCAGGGCTAGAAGGGAGAGGGGTTTGCTCTCAGTTTATATTCAGTAGCTCGCCCTGCCAGTGTTGGTGGGGGTGTTGTTTAGGGTGTTGTTTACCCTAATTAAGGAACTACCAAGGAGAAAACCACACCCCCACCAACCCTGACAGGGCAAGCTACTGAATATAAACTGAGGGCAAGCCCCACTCCCTTCGGGCACTGAAGATGTTACCTGGCCGGGTAACGAAACGTCTGCAAGAAGACAACCAAGCTCAGAGAGCCCCAAGGCCTCCACATTCCACTTTCCACGTGATATATGGAAATACAGCATCACACACCCAAACACGCACACACAGGGGGAGGGGAGGGAGGTAATTGGAGTGTGAACGGGGAAAAGGACTATTTTCTCACACACACACACCCAGCATTATTTGCATGGCGGAGGAAGGTTGGGGAGCAAATTGCACACTTTAATCTAGCCATCGCTTCTCCACTGGCTTCCTAAACAACAGGCGGTCTAGGTACATATGCAAATGCCGTGTTGATAAAGTAGAAAGAGAATCATCAACAGCCTTGAGGGAGGAAGCATTCAAGGTCTCCTGGGCAGGCAGTGGGATAATACCATCCATTAGCAAAAGCAAATAGATAATCTATCCTTTCATTATGCTTCAGGGTCCCCATGACCTAAGATTTACTGACCTCATAATAGAGGTAGCAAAGGAGGTTGAAGGACGGAGAGAAAAGCTTAGGTAGGTGCAAAAAACTGGGAGATGGAGCTTACGTGTTGCTGTAAACCAGTGTTTCTCAACCTCAGCAAACTTTTGGAAAAATTGCCGGCTCTCCCCCCCAAACCCCCAACCCCACCCTCGATGTTTGGTGGTTTAAGACTACAATACATATCAGCCATAAGGGGGGAGAGA